TTATACAAAAGTCATGCCGAAGTCGCATATACGAGTCCAATGTGAAATACATGTCGCATGATACAATGTGTCGTCCACACTCATACCGTTTCGTACAGAGTCGTACAGCGATGGGATGCAGCCTACACCGCTAACTAACAAATCTGAAAAGAAAACCCTAACAAACATCTACGTAATACGACGAGTCGGAATGAAGTCCCACCTCTAACAAAAACCCAATAACTAAAAAACAATATGAAAACACCGTACATAAACCAAAAAATTAAAAAAACAAACACTCTCGACGATAGTACCTGCATACTGAAGTCCACGAACTGGTCCTAAGTGCCTAAAACCTAACTATATATACATCATCATAAACAATGTACAAAAAGGTCAGAACACTGAGCACAAACAACTTAAAGGCGACGTGGAAGGGGAACGAAGTTGTCGACCTCCCGTCCCCTTACCCTTACCTCTCTGCCTCTCCCCACCCGTGTTGTGTGTCGATGAAACACTCCCTCGCCCCGACGCGGTTGCAACGGATGACCCTCGCCTCCTCCGACTCCTCGTCTCCCGCCGCCCTGGAGGGGACGGGTCATCGACGTCATCGCGTCATCTACTAGAGTCACGTCGTCTACCAGAACCACGGCGCGGTGGAGGGGGGGGCTTGTCGTCGTCGTCACAGCTGTCGTCCTCCCCGTTGTCCCTCTCCTCCTCCTCACTCTCCTCGCCGTCCCTGTACTCGTCATCCTCCTGTGAGGCCTCCTCACATGCCGGCCCCGTCTCGGGATCGTCCTCCACCACGTCACAGGGTCAGCCCTCGTCCTCACCCGAACAAGCCTAGCACTCACCTGAGTCACCTCTGCGACTGTCTTCTCACGACGTGAACCGTGCGGCATCCCCAACCCCTCGGCTCCTGAAAACTCCCCCAATGCGGCACCCCCCGAAGCAGGCATGGGACGTGGACGAGATGCTCCACTCCTGCGTGGGCACTCCTGCGTGGAGTCTGGTCACGCACAACACGCGCTGCTGCTGCCAAATCGGCCTGCAAGGTAGATCCGACCTCTCCCGGCCTCTCCACCCCCACGAACATGTCACGACTGAGATACTACCGCGATGACCTCCCTCGGCGCACCCCTCCCGGTGTCAGCCCCACCCAAAACCTGGCTGGCATCGTGCAGTGTGCACTGTGACCCGACGCGTGGAGTCCAAGTCGATATCCGTCCTCTCGAATAGCGGCATGTCAAGAGGGAGGCTCCCTACGATCGTCGTGTTACGAACCCTGGGTCTGGTGGGTGTGGATGGTGAGCGGGGGGGTGGACGTATAGGTGTCGAGGGGGAATCGTTGTGACGTGATCTCGGAGGAGAAGGAAACATGAGTGGTCTGCTAGGGTCGGTGTCTTCTTGCCGTTTGACGTCACGCATAGCAGCCCGTGCGAGCTCCGCCAAATCCAATGGGCGAGCTGTATCCTGAGGAGCTCGCCGCCGACTACCCGGTGTCTCAAGCGCTGGCTCAAATCCTAAATCCACGACTATGACCGGTGGTACCTTAACAGATGCCACCTCCCCAAGACCTGACCCCTGCACACACGGTCAAACTGGCTGCGTCGTCGTCGTCAGCTGCACGCCCGTGAACCGTACCAACGAACCGCTACCTCTGGAGATATCTGCAGCGGGTGCATCCTCACGCTCCTCCTGAGGCTGCTCCTGTCTCTTATACACATCTAGATGTGTATAAGAGACAGGCTGTATCCTGAGGAGCTCGCCGCCGACTACCCGGTGTCTCAAGCGCTGGCTCAAATCCTAAATCCACGACTATGACCGGTGGTACCTTAACAGATGCCACCTCCCCAAGACCTGACCCCTGCACACACGGTCAAACTGGCTGCGTCGTCGTCGTCAGCTGCACGCCCGTGAACCGTACCAACGAACCGCTACCTCTGGAGATATCTGCAGCGGGTGCATCCTCACGCTCCTCCTGAGGCTGCTCTCCTACCTCCTCGCACCCCTGCTGAAGCGTGTCTGTCTCTCTCCCGGAGTGTCCTGCGAATGCCTGCTCGATCTTCTATGTGGAGTAGCCGGCGGCCGCTAGGGCACGCGCCATATCCTCTCTCTCTGCGTGACGAGGGCTGGGAGGATCCCCCAAAGATATATCTATGAAATCCCGCATCCCCATCTGGGCCATCCCTGACGCCCCTGTCTGTTCTAATGGCGACGCCCCCAGTGCCCTCCTCGTGCCCGGGGTCAAACCTGCTAGTGCGGGACCCATCTCGTCATCGACGAAACGCTGGACGATCGGGGCAAGGTGGTCGCCTCCCTCTCCCCTACCATGGGCGACGTCCCCCCCTACCACGACCTCCTCTCCCCCAACCAACGCAGCAACATCTGCCCTCATCACGTCCTCCTCCATCTCAACCTGCGCATCACCATCATCTACCCCTGCCACGCCCTCCTCTCTCTCAACCTGCGTCCTCAGCACATCGTCCTCTCTCTCAACCTCCGACGGCAGCACGCCCTCCACTCTCTCAACCTGCTCACCATCATGCACCCTCGCCATGGCCTCCTCTCTCTCGACCTGCGCCCCATCATCTACCTCCACCACGCTCCCCACTGCTCCAGCTACCTCCTCCTCCATACCCCGAATACCCTCAACTCCGCCCGCTCCGGAGGCTCCGTGCTCCTCCGCTCGTCTCTCCCTCTCCTCCATCGGTGGTGCCCCGCTATGAACACCCACCTCCCCCAAGTCCCCTGATGCATGCGGGTCCAAAACGAGCTGACGGGCTACGCTAAACAATGATCCATGCCCGCGCATGCGCAACCGTTACGAGGATCCCAAGTCCTCCCTCCCAACCGGTGCAGGTGAGCGCTCGTCATGCCGAACGGGAGTGGTCGGAGCGGATGCTGGGACAAAATGACGAGAAAGAGGCAACGACGACAAGGATCCGGACTGCGTCGCGGGAGTACTCGTCTGCTCCCGCGTGATCGTGAGAGCGGGCGTCTGCTCCTTCGCGGTCAAAGGAACAGTCGTCCGCTCTCGTACTGTCGTGGTAGGACGCGGCTCCTCACTCACAGTCATGGGAGCAGGCATCTCCTCCCGCAAGGTCGTGCGAGGAAGCGTATCCTCCCGCGCGGTAGTGGGCGATCTCTCCTCTTTTCCCCTGAAAGATCCCCAGAGCTCCTCGCCCCCCATCATATGTATGTCTCCCTGCTCTGCCGCCCCCCGCGCGGTGTGCGTCCTCTCGTCACCCACGTCTCCCTCCTCGTGCAACTCGTCAATCTTGCGTGGACGGGAAGCATGGAGTCGTCCGCTGCTTCCAGCTCCCTCTCGTCCTCAGAGGCATCGTCCTTGGGGTATGGGCGGAAGATAGCCGCACGAGCACCGAAAATAGACTCAACAAGGGGCAGTGCAGAGGACCCAATGGGATCGCGCGTAATGAGGGCAGCCTGCTCCTCGATCTCCTCCTCCGTCATCCCACTCCTCGTCCCCGAGCGCACTGGCTCCAACTCCAATCCGGCCTGAGCGTCAAGCATGCCCTCGTCTCGCTGCCAATGGAGGACGTATCCACAACCTGCACGTCTATACTCCATCAACCGCACATTTGCGATGATCTCAACAAGATGAACGACCTTCTCGAAGGTCAACTGATTGCGCTTCTTTGTATGGATGCCCTCGTGGACTGCCCAGTTCCTCTCTGCTGGAGAGGCGCAGGACGACATGTGCATCAAACGAAGGGCACAATACTGTAAATCGGACGCGTCTCCCCCATACTGAGACCACCACGACACACACTCCAACATCTCGCAGTCTCCGCTGCAACTAGTACGCGCTTGAGCGAGGCCCTCTCCCCCGCCCCATGTCCCAGACCTACCCTGCTGCATGTGGAAGTCCTCGAACTGCCGACATGTCTCAAGGTAACGAGCACCCGACTCGTCATAGCCCGTTTGAGACAACAGATGCCTCGTGGCTTGTCGAACAAGCCAAGTGTGGTACTGGTCGAGCTGCGCGGAGAACTACTGAAAATCCCGGCGACGAGGGTTCAGTAAGAACGCGGCGCAGTGTGCAGGCTCCATCATGTGTTGTATACGGGCTTCACATGCCTCATGACACAGTCAGAAAAGGACTAGTCAAGAGGGATGCAAGCATCCCGCACGAGGCGTGCAAGATCTCGAGTCCACTCTACAACCAGGGACATGAGTTGCGCCATGGTCCATCCGCCTCAGCAAGTCCATTAGGGGATCCATGATGTGCTTGATGGCACGCATCCTCTCCCACCAAGGGGACCACCTGATCTGTCGGCGCACCCAACGCACCATGTCGCGGACGTCGGGGGACCACGGGATCCTAGCCCAAGCCCGCCCGTCCTCCGTTGTCATCATACCCTGCAAACGATCCTGCAGAGCTAGCAGCCTCTCCAACATGGAGTACATAGACGCAAATCACGTCTCGCATGAAAGCACGAGCCCCAACGCCCCGCTACGCTTCCGAAAGAAGTTGAGAGCCGCCTGGTGGGTTTTGAAAAACACCACCAGAACTCGGGCACGCGTAAACGTGTCCACGAAAGAGGTGCAGATCGTGTCAATGTCTGACAACAACTTGTTGCAGACATGAACGCAGCACGAGAGCCAAGTGATCCTCCTCGGCTAGGCCAAAGCCCTCGCAGCCCCCATGTACACAGAAGCGGAGTCAGTGCATATAGCATTGACCCGCTGTGGGCCACCAAACTTGAAACTGTGAAAGATGGTGACCCATCTCAGCAGGACGTGTGCCGCATCGTCCGGCTCGCCCTCTCGGTTGATCGTCGTGTACATGACAACCCCTCGAGACCCAGCTACAAGGAAGTTAACGATCGGTCGCCCGTCTCGTGACTTCCTCCCGTCAGAGAGGAGGGTGGCGCCACTCACCCATAATGGCTGCCTCACCTCCTCCAACTCCTCCGCCAATTCCTCGCGGTGAATCTCCACAACTCGCATGCTTGCGATCTCGATGTGGGAGGGAAGCACGGGAAGAGGTTCTCCACCAGGTTGTTGAAGAGCAACCTCCTCGAGGTCCCTCCACGGCGTGTTGCGGAAGGCATTGAAGGCAATCCCGCGGGAATACTCCCAGCAAAATAATGTCTTCCTCCACCGACCAATCCACTCGCCACCATACGTGACCGTCATCTTCTGCTGCCGCAGCCTCTTCCTGGCGTTGGTGGCAGAAAGATGTGCACCCCCGTCCTTCCTCTTCGAAGAACCCGGCGTGCGGAACAACATTCTTCGAAGAACTCGGCGTAACATGTTAACCCCCCTGTTGTTGACCTTATGGCCGACAACAATGTAACGCTACACAACAAATTTGCGCCTATAATCCTGCTGCACATGTTCGGGCGCAGGCTCATGTTCGTGCGTCATGGCATTGTGAACCCCCCTCAAAGCCACGCCCGTCCGGTCGTAAGCGCCTCCCCTCGTGCAACCCACCCCGAAACCCCCCCGCCCCCAGCGGCGCCACAGACAAGGTCGTATCCCCAGCCTGCCCCGTCCCAACCCCCGCCCCGTTTCGCCAACTGCCAAGCCTGCGTTCGATGTCGTCGAACCCCCCCGTTCAAACCCCGTCCAACCCCGTCCAACCCCGTCCAACCCCGTCCAACCCCGTTGTACGCCGTTGAACACCCGTTGAACACCCGTTGAACACCCATTGAACACCCGTTGAACACCCGTTGAACACCCGTTGAACATCCGATGAACACCCGTTGACCAACCGTCGAACAACTTCGGGGCAGCGTTCTTCCCCGTTCGCCTTTCGTCAGCGGATGCGTGTCCCAACTTGCGCCTTGGTCGGTGGGATCCACCGGCACCGCCTGTCGGCATACCGACAAGCGACCACAAGAGGTCACGTCCATCATCTGCATCTCGTCCACGCCCAGGCACCTCCTCCGCACGATCCACGATGTTCACATCCCGGCCGTGCTCTGTGGCATGCTCTTCTACCTCTCTCGCGGGTTCGTCCGTCAGAACACCACCCTGACCTCTGCCCATGTCATCCATAGCCAGCGCCCCCTCCAAAGCATCAGCATGCTCCGCGGCTAATCTCTGTGACAACGGTTCCTTAAGCTTTGCTCCTGCCCGCTGCAATCCCCACAGCATCTCACCGGTCCGTCGTGGACAGTGTGCGTTTTGTTTTGTGAAGTGTTCTACTGCCCTGGATCTGGAACCTGGGAAGACGTCATGGCACAGCCGACAACGCATCAAGAAGTTGCCCCCACCAACCACATCGTGGTCCTGACCCCTCTCGATCCACTCCCACACGACATGCGAACGCTGCAAGTCCGCTTGTTTCCAATCGGGCAGGGGCATGAAGGCGGGACAGGCGTTGCCCAAACGACGTCTACTCGCCGCCGCCATCGAGCACAAACTGTAATCAAAGATCTGGATGTGGCCTGCCAAAGGATGGACTCACTTGAGGACCGGAACACAATGTCTAAGCTGCATGCCACTTAGTAGTCCCAGGATGCAACACCTGTGAGAGCTGCATCAACAATTGAAAAGAGGGAATGCGTTAGATATGCTGTCAATCGTTTGCCCGTGAATGTAGGAGGATGAGGACGAGGACAAATTAGGAGGACAGATTACGAGGACGAGAGGAGGAGGAGGGCTGATTGATTGATTGAGTGAGAGATTAATTGCTTGATTGACAGATTGATTGATTAATTGATTGATAGATTGAACGATCAACCAATCAATGAATTAATCGATCAATCAATCAATCAATCCACCAATCAATCAATCAATCAATCAATCAATCAATCAATCAATCAATCAATCAATCAATCAATCAATCAATCAAGTCCCGTCGAATCTATTGATTCGATAGGATCTTGAACTGTCAAGATCCTATCGAATCAATAGATTCGACAGGACTTGATTGATTGATTGATTGATTGATTGTTTGATTGTTTGATTGATTGATTGATTGATTGATTGATTGATTGATTGATTGATTGATTGATTGATTGATTGATTGGTCGGTTGGGAAGTCCTCTTCCTCCTCCTCCTCTATTGGGACCTCCTCCTCCTTCTCCTCCATCGGGACCTCCTCCTTCTCCTCCTCCTCCTCCT